ATTTTGGATGAATAAGCATGTAATGTCTGCAATTATATAATTTAATTTTTTTTCTATTTTTTTTTTTTTAGAAATTTATCATTCAAGAATTCAAATTTAGACAAAAAAAGGAAAAAAAAATTGTAACTTTTACTTTCTTTTTTTTTCTTTTTTTTATTGATTTCGAATGATAAGCGATAGTTATTAATTTATGATAAGCAATTGTTTTTATGCTTGAAAAATTTTATCGTTCTTTAAAAAAAAATTTTTTTTATCATTTACAATTTTTTACATCACTTCAATAAAAAAATTCATTTCGTTTTTTTTTTCTTTTCAAAAAAAAAAAAATATTACAAAAATAAACTAACATCAACAAATTGCTCGATATTGTAAACATTATCACTTGCGATAAATTTTAAAAAGCTTAAATCCTTTTCAAATTCATCCAATTCATTTTTAATATCAAAGCTTGCATAATCCATAATACTTTCATCTGATGATGTTCGTAAATTAATCATTGTTGTATTTGCTTCACAACTTCGTGTCAATGAATCAAGTGCATTCTTTAGTGAAATACCAAAATGACTTCGTACTGGAAAACCTTTCAGGACACGTTCCACAATTTGTCGTCTAATATTACGTGTTTGTAGCATAATCGTATAAAAATCTTCCAATGTTTTCACCTGTTTTCATAATTTTTTAATTTAATATAAATAAATTTTTTGAAAATTTCAACAATTTTATATGTGATTGATTTTCAAAATTTAATTCGAAATATTTCAATTTAAAATTTCAAATCTTTTAAATTAAATTAGCTTTTATGTGTAGCAAATTTTTGCAAAATATCAACTTTAACAAAAATTTCATTATTCTTTAAATTATGAAATCAAAATTTCTTTCTTTATGCATAAATAAATACACTATCAAAAACAAAGCATAATTTAATCGTAGATGAAGATCATTTTTAAGAATTGTATAAATTAAATTAAAGTAATACTTTTGGTAATAAATGAAATTTGCATAAAGAAACGAGGATAATGATAATGAAACAATACCTCAATTGATCTTATCACTTCATGTGTCCAAGATGGATCTAGAAATGCTGCACTCCATTTTTCAATATCATTAGATAAGATAAATTTATGTAATTTGGAACCATTAGCACGACGAATTGCTAAATCTTGAATAGCAGCTTGATAAAATGCATCCGAATAACTATCCAAATCATAGAGATTTATTATCCGTTTATAACATTGTTCACCATTTTCCTGATAAAGTCCAGCTCGAGAAAATTGCACTTCACTACCAGCACCTGTTGATAGAATTAATCCTGCATTTGGATTACATAATAGCATCTCTTTTGCTACCTGAAAAGGAAAAAATAAAAATGTGACAAAAAAAAAATTTTTACAAAAAAATAATTTGAAAAAAAAGAAAATGTTTAATTTTCATATCATTAACAAATATATTTTTAATTTTAATTTTTTAATTTATTCAATTTTTTCCCAAAAAAATAGAGGGATTTTTTTTTTTTGTTTTTTAATTTTCGATAATATAAATTTTGAAACATTACAAAATTTTAATAGAACAATAGTAAATTAAATAGAATTTATTTGTATAAATTAATGAACAATTTTAATAAAAATCAATCAATTGATTATTAATTATTTGAAATTTTAAATTTTCAAAAATCATTTAAATTAAAATTAAATTAAGCAAAATTTCTAACCAAATTCATGCCATCTTTTTTTGGTGTTACAATACCAATATCCATTGCTAAATAGCATGCAATGAGTTCTTTTCGTGGTAATCCTTCTGTTTGAAAAATTAATGGTTTCCAATTTGGTCGTGTTGGACAGGTGCATACTTTATTAATACCTTCAGCTAATAAAATACATTCATCTTGATAAACACGATAGGTATCAACAGCACGTCTATTTATTACCGCAACCTAAATTTAAATTTATTAAATTCTTTGATTTTTTTTAATTTCCATTTTTAATTTTAATCATCTTTCAATTCCTTATCATTCCTTTTTCTTCTTTTTATCTTCAATATATTATCAAAAATTACTTAGTTTTAATTCTTTAAATTAATTTTTTTCAATTAAAAGGTAAAAATTCATTAGGAAAAGAAGAAATGAACTTGAAAAAAAAAAAGTGTATGCATTGAAAAATTAATTCATTGTAATGTTTCAATTAATTAAATAGAATTAATTATATTATACCTGATACAGTACATCTTTACCAATTCGTTCCGGATATTTTTCAAAATAATTTTTATATGCTAGTAATTTTTCTTTAATTCCTTTTGTATAATCGAATCGTTCGACGGAAAAAAATAATCGTCCATCTAATGGCGCATTTACTCCCATAATCTTTAATAAATTTTCTCAAACATTTTATCTTCTCTTTTTTATTTTGATAATATGCAGGAAAAAAAAAGGAAATGAAATAAATAATTTGGAGATATTTTAAAAAAAAATTTTTGAAAAAATAAAAAAATTATAAAGAAAAGAAACGAAAAATGCGATAAATTGCAATAAATTGTTTATTTAAATGAAACAAAATAAGTAATAATAATAATAATAATAATAATAATAATAATA